TATGAAAAAGTAGTGTAATTATAAAACAACAAAAGGATAAATTAAATAGGCTCTGAAAAATGAGATTCCCACATTGCTTTCACTCTTTTATTAAATATGGAGCGTGCAAATTAGAGAAGCCCACTGACTAAGGATACTCATCTTGGACATATATATTTGTTGATAGGCCTGGACCTTTATATTTGTTGATAATTGAAAAAAGAAAAGAATATCGATAACCCCCAGTTCTAGAAACAAAATTCCAAACAAAGAATGCAATATTAATTTGATTAAGTAAAAATGTTATAGTAGCTACAAAAACTGAAAAAGAAAAAGTAACTTCATTTCTTTAAAAAAAAAAAAAGGTGAAATTCCAGGGTGTTCTCTAGGATACATGATCATAAAGAAAAAAAAGTCTATCTATAAAAAATCTTTTTAAGATTCTTAGTGTGAAATAATCTGTATTATACAGCTTTCACAAACAAGCACCTTACTACAAGATCCTTGAGAGTGTACATCAAGGTGTGAAAATACTAGTCTTGAATTCGTTTGAAAACATTCAAATGGTATCAGAGCGAGGTTAGAGTTATTCTAGTCCATTGCATTGCTTCTACGCGATCATGCAATCTGTTTAGGGAAGGATAGAGTAGTTTTTCAGTTTTTGCACAAAATATGCGTTCTTCTATTAAATAAATGGCTTCTCTTTGCATCTCAAATATTATAACACAAAATTTTACTTGGGTGAATTTCTGTGTTAGTAGAACATATCTGCAAAATTTGGAGAACATACACCATGTCTTTCTTGATATACTGAACTTTGTATTTACATTGTTGTTTATTTGACTTTATTATTTTGAGTGCTGAAGAGCCTTTGTTTATCTAAAGCTGAAACTTGTTACAGCATCATGGGAAAATCTATCAGTAAACCATGGAATAAAGGTAGAAAAGGGTTTACAAATTGTTCACCTTCTAAAAGAGTTCGAAAGGATAAAGATGGGTTCTAATCGAGATTTCTACAAATGATTGCCCTGATCTTGTGATTCTTTTCTATGTGTTCAAAGGATAAAGAACTTCATTCCTAACCTCTATAACCCATTTCATTTTTTCAGTTTTGGGTTAACTCCTTTCAAGCCTACCATCTCTTCAACCAGAGATCAGTTTTGCATGATCTAGGAGAGTGCGACCTACTTTCCAGTGTAGAATTTAGAAAACCATAACAAAAACAATATCAAAACTGGCTAATAGGTGTGATGATATTGAAATTTTGCTAACTACAACCTTATTTACATAATTTAAGTCCCAACCGTTGGCTTTCAATCAGATCAAATCTCTTCCAAAAAGGTTTTCTAAATTGTCCTTGCATTGTCCACATTAAATAGCGAGAATCTGATTCAAAATCAACTCTTTCACATGAGCATGCTGCGATCTTACCTATTGCTTGACTGTTACCATTAAAATAGAAAAACATTGTGCAGCTAGCGTTGGTTTGTTCCATATTGGAACATCCAATTATAAACTTCAAAACGATTCTACTTCCTGCAGTTGACAGGACTGTAAATTTGAAGTCCACAGAGAAATGCGCAATACAAGCTCATTGATTAGATGCCATGAAACAGCACCACCAAATAAAGCAAACTGATTTTCCATACCTGGTGACGAACTCCATGCAGCATCACTATACCCCTCCAATATGTTAAGAACAACTGGCATCAGTCTCTGCTTGAAGACAAGTGTGCCAACTTGTCCAGCTCAGCGGAAAGCTCCAGTCAGCACGCCAACTCTTCACACAGATCACGACCAACACGCATGGCCGACAAATGGAATGCAATCGTCCTCCTCTTAGTACCAATTGTCCCAGTCTGAAAAACCGTTAAAGCTGCATGTACCACCTGCCTTACCATGTTGCTTTTGTCTTTCTGTGTCTTTACATTGCTGATATTTTCTGTACTTCAAGAGCTAAGGAGCTCTATATATATGTAATTTATCTTCCAACCTTTCAATGCAATGAATGAATCTTTCATCAGTGCTGAGAATTGTCCAACTTGATAAACAACTCTAAAACAAACCAGCTTTCATAACTTGGTATCAGAGCCAAGAGGCATCATGGCAGGAGAAAACAGCAACTCCTCTACCTTCAACCCTTCACCTCAAAGAGTTCAAACTCTGTCTAGCAACTCAATGAGCTCAGTGTGTGCTCTGAAACTCAATCACGATAATTATCTCATTTGGAAAAACTTGGTTCACCCAATCATAAGAGGTAACAAACTTGAAGGTTACCTCACCAGCGCCAAATCAAGCCCACCTGAGTACACAGAAAGAACCATAGAAGGAAATACTGAAGTTGAAATCATTGTAAATCCGGAGTTCGAAGACTGGTTTGCACAAGACCAAATGTTGCTGGGTTGGCTTTATAGCTCCATCAAGACCAACTTAGCCTCCCAATTGATGGGGCACTCAACATCAAAACTACTATGGGAAGGAATTCGTAATTTTTTCGCAGTTAAATCACGAGCAAACATAATCTACTACAAAAGGGAGTTCGTCAAAATGCAAAAGGGTAACCTGAAGATGGAAGAATATCTCAAAACTATCAAAGAAATTGCTGATAATCTAGCCCTGGCAGGACATCCTGTTATCCTGGAGGATCTCACCTCACAAGTCCTTGCTAGTTTAGATTCTTCTGAATATAACCCACTTATATGTCAAATCACGGAGAAAGAAAGCGTAAGTTGGGTGGAATTGCAGTCTCAACTGCTCAACTATGAAAGACGACTGGAACAACTCAACTTAACCACGGCCACTCCAAATCTCGGACGACCATCACCTTTTTTCTCTAGTATCAAAAATGTCAGAACTCATCAGAACTCACCTCCTCAACCAATCAACAGAGGAGGTGGACGTAACAACTCCTTTAACAGAGGAGGTCGCTACCACCAGAAGAGGAGCAAAGGCCGGTGGTAATTCCAGATCAATTTGCCAGGTGTGCGGCAAAATAGACTACACAGCTGCTTACTGCAATTACCGTTATGACAACAGCTACATGGGAACCATCCCAGAAAGCTCTCCCAAAGCTTATCAAAGTTCAACTCTTCCAGCATCCCCTGAAGATCCTCTTGAAGACCCACTTTGGTATGTTGATAGTGGAGCTAATAATCATGTAACAGGAGATGTCAACATGCTGCAGTTCAAATAACAATATGATGGAAGTGAAAGTCTCATGATTGGAAATGGTGAGAAAATGACCATAAAAAATGTTGGTAAGGCAAACATTCATACTCTCAAAAACGGAAAACTAACCTTGAACAAAGTTCTGCATGTACCAAGAATCAATAAAAATTTGCTGAGTGTCTCTCAACTTACCTCCACTAACAATGTTGAGGTTATTTTTGACTCATCTTCCTGTTTTGTGAAGGACAAAGCCACAGGCAAGGTGCTGCTGGTAGGGAAGCTTAAAGGCAGCTTATATTGCTTGGGCTCATCTGGATCACCCTCTGTTCTTCATCCTTACTGTCAAGCTCTCTTCACTGACAAACATTATCAAACCCCTGAATCAAAAATCCTAATGTGGCATAGAAGATTAAAACACCCATCTTCAAAAACCTTATTTGTCCTCCTTAAATCATGTAATAAATCTTTTAAACCTAATGAGAACTTATTTTGTGATGCATGCCAACTAGGCAAGTTTCATCTTCTTCCCTACACTCCAATGCAAAAGCTCCCTTCGAAATTGTTCACACCGATGTCTAGGGACCTTCTGCACTCCTTTCTCACACTGGCCACTGGTACTATGTAATTTTCCTTTATGATTATAGCCATTTTACCTGGCTTTATCAACTAAAACAAAAATCAAAAGTTATTCAAGCCTTTACTCTATTTAAACGCCAAACAGAAACTCAATTTGGAAGAAAAATAAAATGTCTTCAATCAGATATAGGAGGAGAATTCATTGGCCTAGCTCAGACTCTCCAAAATAGTGGAATTAAGATTAAATACTCGTGTCCCTACTCTTCAGCTCAAAATGGACGGATTGAAAGAAAATATCGGCATATAAACGAAACCGGCCTCACTCTTCTTGCCGAGTCGGGTGTGCCATTAAAATCCTGGCTGGATGCTTTTAAAACAGCCGTATTCCTGATCAATAGAATGCCCACACCTACCTTGAATCAATCCTCACCACTTGAAAAGCTTTACCACAAACGGCCTGACTACAAACAGCTGAAGATTTTTGGGTGTGCCTGTTTCCCGTGCCTTCAACCACATCAAAACCACAAACTCTCTTTTCACTCAACAAAATGTGTTTTTCTTGGTTACAGTCCACTGCACAAGGGAGACAAATGTCTCGATCCTACTAGCAAAATATACGTTTCCAGAAATGTTGTCTTCAATGAACTTAAATTCCCCTGTCACCATGGCTTCGTCAAAACACATCAACCTGACACTGTCTCTACAATCACACTCCCCTTTTGGTTGAATATATCTTCCAAACCTGCATCTCTTATCCCAGAAAGTCTAAGCAGACAAGTCATTGGAGAACCCCCTAGCACCAGCTGCCTCACCTGTGGCAGAGTCCTCACCACAATACTCACCAAGAAGTGAAGAACCAGTGCTTGTTTCCATTCAAAGCACAACACCATCAGAACAAGAAGGGAGGACACAAACCGCAAATACACAGATAAAAGCACCAAGACACCAAATGATGACCAGAGCTCAAGTAGGGATCTTCAAACCAAGAAATATGCCACAAGGTTTCCAATTGTTTAAAGCAGTACTAGTAGACGACCTTACAACTCCCACCTCCATCGCAGAAGCACTCAAAATTCCTCACTGGAAATCAGCTATGGAAGAAGAACTATCAGCACTTAGAAATAATCAAACATGGAAGCTAGTCCCTCATCAACCTGAAATGACTCTGGTTGGCAATAAATGGGTTTACAAAATTAAGACCAATGCTGATGGTAGCTTCCAACGGTGCAAAGCCAAGCTAGTAGCAAAGGGATTTCACCAAACACCTGGAATAGACTTCCATTAAACCTTCAGCCCAGTAATTAAAGCATCAACACTTCGAGTAATCCTAGTGTTGGCTGTAACAAACGGTTGGAATATCAGACAACTGGATGTTAACAATGTTTTCCTAAATAGAGAATTGAAAGAGACTGCCTTTATGAAACAACCAGAAGGTTTCGAAGATCCCAAACACCTCAACCAAGTCTGTCAACTCAACAAAGCACTCTACGGTCTGAAACAAGCCCCAAGAGCGTGGTTTGACAAGCTCAAATCCTCATTGATCAAATGGGGCTTTAGAAACTCACAAGCAGACACATCCCTCTTTCACTTTCTCGCAGGGACAACTCAAATCTTCATCCTAATCTACGTTGATGACCTAATAGTTACAGGAAACCAACCAGAAATGATGCAAAATGTTGTCAACCGACTTCACAACTCCTTTGCTCTCAAAGACCTTGGAGACCTCCATCTTTTCCTCAATAACCCGTGATGACACTGATCTTATTCTCACCCAAACGAAATATATAGAGGACCTTCTTAAACAAAATAATATGTCATCTGCTAAAGCTTGTCCAACACCAGCTGTTCTTGGGAACAAGTTGTCTACCGGAGAAAGGGAAGAACTGAAAGATCCAACTCCCTATCATAAAATAATAGGGTCTCTCCAATATCTAACTCATACAAGACCCGACATATCATTCATTATCAACAAACTTAGTCAATTCATGCAAAAACCCACTGAACTTCACATGAAAGTTTTGAAAAGAGTCCTCCGTTACTTAAAAGGAACAACTGATGTCATTCTTCACATCAAACCCAGTGATAGACTAAACATTGTTGGTTTTTCGGATGTCGACTGGGCCTGCTCAAAGGATGACAGACGGTCGACTTCAGGTTACTGCATCTACCTTGGAGAAACTTTAATCTTTTGGAGCTCTAAAAAGCAAAGTGTTGTTTCAAGGTCAAGCACGGAATCCAAATACAGAACCCTGGCTCTTCTTTCTTGTGAAATCATCTGGCTGGAGTCCCTACTCAAAGAGATAAATGTAGTTTCATCACAAACTCCAATAGCCTAGTGTGATAATATGAGTGTCACGGCTCTTGCAAGCAACCCCGTTTTCCACTCACGAACTAAACACATTGAAGTGGACGTTCATTTTGTCCGCGATCAAGTAACAAAAGGAGCCCTGGACGTTAGATACGTGCCGTCTTGCGATCAGACCGCAGATTGCTTCACCAAGGCTCTGTCACAAACACAAATTAAGTATTTCAGAGAAAAACTTGGATTAGTTCACCGACCGCTTCCCTTGACAAGTTTGAGGGAGAATGTTAAGAACAACTGGCATCAGTCTCTGCTTGAAGACAAGTGTGCCAACTTGTCCAGCTCAGCGGAAAGCTCCAGTCAACACGCCAACTCATCACACAGATCACCGACCAACACGCATGACCGACAACTGGAATGCAATCGTCCTCCTCCTTAGTGCCAAATCATCCCAGTCTGAAAAACCGTTAAAGCTGCATGCACCACCTGCCTTACCATGTTGCTTTTGTCCTTCCATGTCTTTACATTGCTGATATTTTCTGTACTTCAAGAGCTAAGGAGCTCTATATATATGTAATTTATCTTCCAATCTTTCAATGCAATGAATGAACCTTTCATCAGTGCTGAGAATTGTCCAGCTTGATAAACAACTTTAAAACAAACCAGCTTTCTTAACTCAATACACTAAAAAACTTTCAATACTTCAGTCCATGATACTTAAGAAATCAAATACTTACACACAACATAAACAACATCCAGGTCAGACAGTCTCTAAATCCTTTTTCTGGACAAAATTATGAACAGAATACTGTTTGGCTTCAGACCAACTTATAATTGCGTAGTACTGAATTCTTTTTCAGAACCATAAAAATCCAAATGGTTTTTCTTATTAACAGATGCCACAGACGAAGTTACATCAACCATCAAAACCAGTGTAACACTCGCTCTTGCGTACTTTAATTTTAATCATTTTTTCAAGGTTGGCAATAAAGAAGGCAAAACAAGAATCTAACTCAGCGAAGCGACAAAGTAAACCAAGTAGGACACTACCATGAAATTGAAGTGTCAGATAGATGATACCTTACCCACGAGAGAGTGGATTTACATCCAAGATGCACAGGCACATGTCATCCTCGTAAAGCTGTAACAACAAAATTCAAAAGAAAGCAATAAATAAGCACCAATCCAAAACCCAACGGGAGGAGAAAAAGAGAGAGAAATTTTTTAAATTTTTGAATTCAGTATTGCCGTCTAGCAATCAAATAAACACTCCAACAAGAAGTTTACCTTGAGAGAAGGAGATTCGCCGCGGATGATCTTGCAAAAAATGCAGTCGTTTTCTGGACTCCCTGACTTAGAGTCAGCCGGTGGCGGCTCTTCATTGGATCCAGCTGCGCAACCCGACATGTAAGGAGTTGGTAATCGGGTCTGACTGGATCTCGGACCGATTGGGCGGAGATGGGAACAGATAATTGCGAGTCTCAGCGTCTCCATCCCGAGCTATAATATAAGTCTTTTAGGTGTCGCCATGTTTATCATTTGATGTTTGTTGGAGAGAAACAGAGAGATTTGAACGAGTCGGATTCTTAACCAGTCAAGATTAGCTGACTGTGAGCTCCAGAGCAGTGAGAGCGAACAACGGCAAGCGAGAAATGAACGGGGCTAGTGGCTGAGGATCGGACGGCCTTATCCAGGAACACTGGCCCACGTGGGAATCGATTTTATAGAAAGCTGACACGTGTTACGTTTTTTACCCAGTATTATAATAATTTCATTAAAATTTTTAATTAGAATAATTTTGATATAACAAAATAATTAATTAAATTTTTAATTATTCGGTTCTATAATTTTAGCGCAACTTTTAATTAAACAACCAATAAAATTGGTAATCATATAATTTTTAGATAAAACTATAAAAACCATATGAAATTTTTATAAAAATATGTAGTTAATTTTATTTATTTTTCAATTTGGCCTTTGATTTTTTATTTATTACAATTGATTGACTAATTTTTATTTTTGTTTTAAATCGTCATTTTAGATAACCGTTAAAGTTTTTTGTGGTTCAATTAATTAAATTACAACTTAATTATGAGATGATAAATGGGAAAGTGGTGGAATAGAAAGAGGTATGAATATTCTTAACATGAAATTTGAAGAATTCATAATAACTTCACATTGGGTATTAATTTTTTAAAAAAAATTGTTTCATTGAAAACGTTATAAGCAAAATCTTGTTGGATCAAACTTTAGTCAATGAAAAAAACAACATGTAATAACTCTAAATGATAAAAATATTATTTTTTTACCTGTCTATATACACTAATATTGTAACGATTCTGAAAATATTCAAATGAAATAAAAGATAATTAAAGTACAGAAACGTAATAAATATTCAGCGTTTATATTTCTTACACGAATAACTGAAATTACCAAACAGTGTTACAGAATTCACCATTTTGAAAGAATCACAAGAAATAAAAAAATTTAGCATTTACTCGCAATTCTCTTGTGGATTGAGCTTTAGAACATGTTTCTCTTGATCTGAAATGGTTAAATAAGGGATGAGTTGTACTATCCCAATAAAAATATCACACTATATCACCGACACAGAAGTAAAAGTTGATATAAAATCAAAAAATACTAATAGAGCACTAAATTTAGCAAACTCATTTATTAATCATAAAAATCATTTACCGTTCACTTACCATAGTGGGATTTATAAAAATAATATATACAGACAATAATATTATTCAGATCACAATTTCATGCATAATCAGCAATCATAGCATATATTATAAATCTATATCCATCATCAATAAATCAAACAATAATTGCCACTCTTTTTACTAGTCTGCTGGTATTCATGTGAGTTCATAAAGATGTCTCCGTTACACGTGACCTATTTCATTTAATATTCTCAATTATGGACCGTCCTCATACTCCATCCAGTATGAACACCAATTTACCAAACCTCAATACCCCGTCCAGTATGAGAGTGAAGCGGGTCATCCCCATACCCCATCCGATATGAGTGCCGAATTATCAAGTCTCCATACCCCATCCGGTATGAGACAATATTTACGATAAGGTTCTCTATATTCCCGGTTTGTCCACCATCTTCCAGAATATCCAATAAGGTTGTTGTTTCATCTATTCGTTTCATCTCTTCATTTCATCACACAATTTTTACCGTTTAATCTTCATTTTTTTCGATTCAACAGTAAACACATAGAATAAACCATACATGTATTCAAAGCCATAAAATCAATTAATAAGGTACTAACACGCATTTGAACTGTAAAACAATCAACAAAGCAACATTAGAGAATTTCCAGTTCTCGCTCCATTAGCAATCCGTAATTAATTATGCACATTTTCTAAATTCACACAAATATTGTATTATTATTTATTTAGACTTCAATTCTATGATAGGGAATAGAGTGAGGAATCCTTACTCGATTTGATACCTGAAAAGCTAAATTGTTTGACTGCGCCTACGGGCGATTTCTGGATTTTCTGAATTTCTCTTCGAGAATTGAAACGCGCTAATAGTACCTACAAATATCTCAAACAAACCCAAAATTAGTCCTAGGGCCCACTTGGCCAATTTTGGAATTCTGGCACGGCGGCTCCGCCGTGGTTCGGCGACGTCATTGGGTGAGCGGTCGTGGTCTGCCTCGGGTCGGTTGTTTTCAGCCGAATTCGGTTGATTCTGCATCGATCCCTGCGAGAAAACACGTTAAAAGGACTCAGTTGGCGGAAAAAATATAAAAAATCAAAACTCACCGGCGGCGGGGCTCTTCAGTGCGGCGGCTCCTCCGGCTCAAGTTGCGGTTGGGTGTTTTGCTCCAGTCAACCTGTATAAAAGGACACGGTGATCACAACGGTAAAAAAATTACACAAAACGGAAAACTAAAAGGGTCTCATCGGAGGCATTTTGTGAAATTTCTTGTGGCGGCGCCGCCGGGTTTCACCGTCGTTTTTCAGCCAATTGGCTGGTCTTTTTACTCCGATTTGGCCATAGGTATTCTTAAAATTGAATTTCGAGTAAAAAATTTTTTTTACCTTTTTTGGCGGTTGGAAAAAGCTCCAGTGCGACGGCGGGTGACGTGGGTCTCTTTCCCAGCGGCCGGGTCTTTTTCTCCGGCTAGGGTTAGGGTTTGGTGCGAATGGGGGCTATTTATATCTGTCTGCTTTTGATTTGAGTCGTCCATCACGTTTGATCTGGATCGTCCGATCGCGATTAAATAGGGAGTGAATCTAGACCATTCATCGCGATTCAATCTGAGCCGTCTATCACGATCTAATCTGGACCGTCCGATCGCGTTCAAATCTGACCATCCGATCACATTTGGGAAAGAAATGCATCTGAGCTATCCGTGCGCGCCGGAACGGATTTGAGCCGTTCGATCGCGGGCACGCGGATTGCCCACATGGCAGAATTTTCTTAAATTGCAGTTTGATCACCGGTTTTCGATTTTTCTTTCAAAAATACTCTCATAACCTAAATTTTTATCCTTTTTCCCCCAAAATTGTTTTCAATTTCATTCTCCTTCAATTTTTACTTTATTTTTACCCTAAATTAAATGAAAAATAAATTAAAAATTATATTTATTAATTTTAAATTACATACAATTTTATTTTAGGGTGTTACAAATATTGTATGCTAATTTCTCAAATGTAACAATAGATAATAATTTGATAAATAAATCTATTAAGTTATCGCTTGAACAAATTTGTTGAACCTCATATCACCACTTTTAAAGATCATTCGTGGAAAAAAATGTGAAATATATTTTATTATGTATCATTTAATACATAATTTCTTTTAATATGGTTATGCATATAATATTATCCTTATAAATTATTGTTGGTACATTTCTTTTACAAGGGAGATCACATATTTTTTGAATATGTTAAATCATTAATCTCGATCATACATATTTCGAACTTATTTTTTTAAATAATAAGTACTTTTGCATGATTTTGATGAATTGTGATTATTGTTTATTTTGTACACCATCATGATATTATTATACCACCATACATTAAAAAATAATATTTTTTGAAGCTTGATGTGAATTGTATAAATACACCATATCTACATAATCAATTATTTGTTATTTTGATCATTTTGAATCAAATAAATTTATGTCTATTGTTTTTTGAATATATCTAAATAGATGTGTTAACCACATTTTATTTTTTTGTGTGAAATATATATATTTTTCTAATAAATATACATAAAATATTATATTAAGTCAAGTATTACTAGTAAGATACAAGAATGCACATATCACACTAAAAAAAATACTTTTAAGACCAAATAAATTTTAATTATTTTGATCAGAACAAAAAGAATTTTTATGTAAATCAATTGATTGAATAACCATGAGAATGCTTAAGGGATGTATTTTATCCGTGTAAAATTTTTTTAAGATATTTTTTACATATATTGATGAATGAACATGAATTCTATTTGTTAAGGTTCAATTATAACAAATTGACATGTGATTTTTTAATAAAAATACATGGACATGTAAACCATCCTTATAACTTTATTTCAATAAATATTCACTAAAAGGACTTTATTGTATATGTTCAAATTATTTCAATTGATATAAAAATATTTGCCATTATTGGATTAATTTAATTGAGAATTTATAAATATGTAGTAATTATATTTATTAAATGTATTTTGAAATTTTTATGTATTACTAATATTTATAAAATATTAAAATATTATAGCATTCACAGTAGAAAAATATGTCTGTTCACAATCAATATTGAATATTTGTGAAAATTATTGAGCTACAAGTCAAACTTTATATCAAACAACTTTACTTTTTAGTTTTGGTTTTTTGCACTCATTTATATCTAATTAGTTTTATGTCATTTGGTGTATGAACTACCGGTCCATAAAACATTCAATTATCAAGTGAGTCAAATTCTATTCATATCGCGTCTCTTCATTTTGACCAATCATCTATATATCGACATTCGTCGATATATTTACGTTCGATATCCTTGTCATTTTTTTTTTTCTAATATTTTGCACTAATTATAAGAAAAAATATCGTTGACAATTACATTTTCATAGTTTAAACATTTTCCAGTAATGAAAAAATTTATTAGGATCTTACATTATTATAAATGGTTCGTTTTTTTATTATTTTATGTAACGACCCCGGAAATTTAGAATGAAATATGTGTATTAAAAATGTCAAATGCAAAAGCGTAATAAAAATTTTGATTAACATCCCTTACACAAAAACCAAAAAACGTGCTCAAAATATAGAAGAACAAACTAACTAAAAGAGATACTCAAAAATAAGAACTATAAATATAACTACGGAGTCTTTAGGCGTCCCCTTCGCGGTCTTCCTGTGGAACGGGCTCGGGAACAATGTCTTCCTGATCTAAAATTGTTAAATAAGGAATGAGCTACACCAGCCCAGTAAAGACATCACACTATCTCACCGCTACGGAGGTAAAGGTGGGTAGAAAACAACAAAAAGACCAATGGAGCATAATTTATAATAAATTCGTTTATTAACATAAAAACCTTTACTATCCACTTATCTCGGTGAGATCCATAAAACAACATATGAAAGTAATAACATTATCATTATCATGAAATCATATGAACTGTATAACATAATACTTACCACGC